AAGCTATGTCCTTGGAGGTGCCATGTCACCTGAACCTGAGAATGATGTCCCATATAGGGTAAGCCAAAGCCCAGTAGAGGTATACTAAACCAAGTATGAGAGACAACTAAAACATTTAGCATTTGATAGATGGTTAACACTTGTAAACCAATACCTATGTCACAATACAGTTCCATGACAATCATGTCACTTTCCATTATTTATCCAATTTTCCATTTATGCAAACATGGCTCAGAACCTGGCCAAACAATTTCTATGTGACAACAGCTCATATAAAAATACTTCCAATATCAACAATTCAAATGAGACTAAAGCTCATATTAAAACACTTCCAATACTTCAATTTAATACACACATTTGCTATATTAACACTTCAAGTGATACACATATTTGCTGTATCAATGGAGTCCATCCCCTATGTCCTCCAAAACAGGTTTGAGAGTCCATCCCCTATCTCCTCTCAAACCATGGAGTTCATCCCCTATGTCCTCCCAAACAGGTTTGAGAGTCTATCCCCTATCTCCTCTCAAACCATGGAGTACATCCCCTATCTCCTCCCAAACAATATGCATATACAATGTATTTAACACTTGTCCTATACAATAATCAATCAATACACATATTTGCTGTATTAATTCAACCGTCATATTCAATGACATATTTAATGTGATTAGTTTCAGTTTTCCCTAATCAACATACAATGTCTACAATAATCAAGACTATCCTCCACCGATAGCCCAAAGCAGTTATTTCTAAACAGATAATAAATGCAATAAACAGATATAAACCCACATTCTCATAGGTGAGTGATTAACTAATCCAACTACACCATTTAATCCCATAATTTCCCAATTTCATTATCCTCCACTCAATTTCATATTTCCACATTTTCTCAAATTAATCATACAAATTAATTTATTTCAATAATTAGGGCATTATCCCCCCTTTCTCAATATCAACCATTAGGCTCGATTTCACCAATTTGACAACAATAATTCCATTTTTCATTATCTCACATACACATGGGTTTTAATATTTGAAAACCCTATTTTTATAAATTACATAACAAACCCTAACTTTCCCAATATTACCCAACAATACCAACTAATCAAAATGACCAAAGTTTATGTAAAAACTCATAAGATGGAGTAGGATATCCCTACCTCGAAATGAAGAGACCAAAGGAGAAGATGGTGAAAATCCAAAGTGCTCCAAATCCATAAATTTTTAGATTAAAACGTAGCCCACACAACCCTCTATCTTTCTTACAAAGAACTTAGGGTAGAAACACACTAAAAGTAGATCAATCCCTAGAGAGAAGGTGTATAGAGAGAGAGAGAGAGAGGACGGATCTAGGGTTTTGAAAGCAAAAGAGGATAAAAAAGTGAAGTGTTTCCCCGCTGCTTCCTACTGATGTAACACAGTCTCGCTCGAGCGAAAGATTAGTCGCTCGAGCGACCAGACACAAAGAATCCTCGCTCGAGCGTAGAAAACCTCGCTCAAGCCAACAATTCGAAGCTTCAGGTCTGTAACCAGAAGCACGCTCGAGCGAAGAAAAGCTCGCTCGAGTGAAGAACTCCAAAACATAGACCTCGCTCGCTCGAGCGAAGAATTGCAACCTTCAGGTCCAGAACCAGACGCAGACGTAGACGCAGACGCAAGCTCAAGCGAAGGACTTCTCGCTCGAGCCACCAGATACAAAACTCAACTCTCGCTCGAGTGAAGGAACCTTGGCTCAAGCGAAGGATCTAAAACACAGAGCTCGCTCGAGCGACCAAAGGCTCGCTCGAGCAAAGGACCAAAATTCTCGGCAGCAACCATTTGCTCCTAATCACACCCAACTTGTAACAATTCTGCCCAAAACATCCTATAAGTCAAATACAAAGTATTGAAGGACGGAAACAAGATATAAACCACAACCGACATCCACGGAACCAAGTCCGGATACAACAACGAAAGGAGGAAGAACCGGGATCGCTATAGTGTAGGCTGAATTGCTTTCTCTAGACCTTTCAAACAACAAAATTGGTGGTGAAGTTCCAAAATGGGTATTGGATGTAGGGAAAAATTCATTGAAGGATTTAGATCTTTCTAATAATTTTCTTACTGGTTTAGAGAAACTTCCATGGCAAACACTACAATTTATTGACCTGCACTCCAACTTACTCCATGGACCACTCCCTATTCCACCTATCACCACAATTGCTTTCTCTATCTCAAACAATAAATTGACAGGAGAAATCCTTCCTTTAATTTGTAGTCTAAACTCACTTAAAGTTCTTGATCTATCTAATAACAATTTCAGTGGAATTATTTCACATTATTTGGGAAACTTCAGCAATAGTCTCTCAGTGCTGAATAGCTTTCATGGAACCTTTACTGCAGCAGTTACAAAAGGTAACATGCTGAGGAATCTTAACTTGAATGGCAACCAGATTGAAGGACAAGTTCCGCGATCTTTGCTCAATTGTGAACACTTCGAAGTTCTAGATCTTGGAATAAATAAGATAAATGATGCATTCCCTCACTGGCTAGGAACTCTTCTAGAGTTGCGGGTCTGGTCTTGAGATTTAATAGGTTTCATGGTCACATTGACGCCTTTAAGACCAAGAGTAAAGTTCCTTTCACTAAGTTGAGGATTATTGACATATGTTATAATGAGTTCAGTGGCCCTTTGCCAACCAATTATATCAACCGACAAGTCAAGTGGATTTAGATGGCAAGTTGTAGTGATGGGGTATGGATGCGGATTTGTATTTGGAATGGTTATGGGCTATCTTATGTTTGTAACTCGAAGACTAGAATGGCTAATGAAAATTGTTGAAGGAAAACAATATAAGAAGGTGAAAAGGTCTAATAAGGGTGCCCACTGATGCAATAAAGGAAGAAATCAGCAAAATCAAATGGTGTTATCAGGTAAGCGGAATTTATCTTTGAAGCTTTATTTTGTTGGATTATCTCTTGTGGTTTCTATTTATAAGCAAAATTAGAGTTACTTATGTTTTATTTCAAAACTAGCTCCATACCTTTAAGTAGCACAATAAAGAAATAGTATCTACTTGAAGGGGTGTCTCAGTGTCTGTCTTAGTTGTTGCATAATGAGTCTATGTGCATTTTTCCTCTTGAAGACAAGTTCTTTTGGCCAAGTGCCTATTTTTCAGCTTTTCACTTTTGCCTTGCCCCCCCCCCTGCAATGATTTTTTTTTATGGTTTTTAGCACAATAAGAACATAATTCAACTTCCTTAGTTTGAAATTAATTTAAAATGACATCAGCTTCAGCACTTTCTGTGAAATATCTATTTTGATTTAAAAAAGTAAAATGGTTTAAGTAGCCAGTTCTATTTTGATTTTTATTTATGCTAACTGCTTCAGCACTTTCTGTGAAATAGTTTAAGCAGCCACTTCCTCTATTTTGTAGCCAACATGATCAGTCAACTTTGCTTCCTTAGATCTTTCTAAGAATCAGCAATTTTTTTTAATAAATAATAAAAGCAAATTATGGACTCTGTAATGTCTGAATGACAGAAGTTTTGTGTTTGGAAAGTTGGATAATACAGTAGTTGCTTTTGTTCATCTTGTTCAATAATTGAAATTATACATTAGTGGTTGAGGGCCAAGTTTAGTCAAATTTTATGATCTCATGTCTCCTAATATTTATCGTCAATGAATTATATAAGAATGTTAAGATATGAATATTTGGAGATATAATTTAACAACTGTGAATGTTTTTCAATAGAGAAATAAAAAATTTTAAAGATAAAAAGATCTTGGGTCTCATTATTGGGTTTTGAAATATATTAAAAATTCAACAATAAAGTTAGAAGATCAAAGCCTAAGAGGTTTGTTTTTGTGTCCTTTTGTTGCTCTGTTTTATTGATTTCAGTTTTCATTGAAATGATTGGACTTGTTATTCTTCAAATTGAATGAAGGGTTCACTTTCTATTTTCGGTTGTTTTGTTTCAGGTACAAAAACGACCCATTTTGTGTGTCTCTCTATTGTTCTTCAATCAGGTATGAGGAAGACATTTTTGCATTAACTTTGTGTATCTAAGTTTGGATTTGTTTTTTCTTCTGCAAATTTATCTAAAAATTATCCTAAATTTCAATTGTTTTTTTATTGATTATGTAAATATATGCTTCTTCTTTGGATGTTGCTGCTGTTTTATTTTTCCACAAATTTGCTTCGTTCATTGCATCAAATATTGCTGTATATGAAATGGGTGTGCTGCTATTGAAGAATTTCTAACTTTTCTTTTAGATGAAGCATGATTTCTTTTCTACTTATGCATGTACACATGCATTTATATAAATTGATTGTTCTATTGACATCTTGGAAATTTTGAAACATGTCAAATTGATTTTCTTTTATAAAGAGAACAAATTGTACTTTCCTGCTACTTTTTTGTAACAATTTTTGTGGTTATCTTAAGTTTCTAATTTGTATATATGTGTACATGTGTGTGTTGATGGTGTGAAGATGTTATTGTGTTGTAGGGATGGGAAGAAGGCGAAGGCCTTGGGAAAGAGAAGCGAGGGATCAAAGGATATGTCAGAGTTAAGAACAAACAGGACATTGCAGCTTCTTCTTTTTTTTTTGTTGTTGTTGCTCTTTGTTTCTTTGTTTTTTTGTTTATTCATCAAATTCATGCTCTATTTTGTTGCCTAGAACATAAAGTTTTTTTTATTTTATTTTATTTTAATTGTCTTCTGAATCAAAGGAGCTAATAAGCTTAACCTTGTTGTGGGATGAGTTTTTCATAAATAAGGAGTTCATGACATATAGAGCAGCTTGGCAATTCAATAGGTATTGGGACATAATTGTTGAAAATTACAACAGGTATTGGTGTAGATGAGGGCATTCGATACATCACAGTTTGACAGCATCCCCAAGAGATTGAAAGTGTAATTGTCCCATTTATCCTTCGAATTAGATTTAATAAGCTTTAAAAAAACTGTTCTTGTATTTTTCTGTTTCTGACTCTTCTTTTTATTTTTTCAGGAAGCTGCAGAAATCAAGGATGAAGGTACATCAAGATAAAATTGAATTTATGTTACACTTAATATCATTATATGGTTTGATGAGGATCATCTTTGTATGCATATTGCATCTGTTGAAAAGGATGATGTTCAAGAGGTTGATACCGATGTCACCTTAGAGACTAATACAGTTGTCAAGTCTACTCGGCCCCAAGGAAGGTCAATATGGTTGTGCACATCAATGCTAGATTGGTTTTGAGTTTTTTTTTCCTTTCTAATTTTTATAAATTTATTTATTTGTTTATTTTTGTTTCTTCCTTTAATAATCACCAGGTATAAGAAAAGAGAGAGGGAAACTTGTCCATGCATGTTCTTCTGTGGATCTTGGAGGAATACTTGTGAGTCACTAACCTTAGTAACTTAGGTCCCCGAGTTTTTTTGTATAGAGTTGATTGAAACAAGAATTGTGAGGTAGTTATTTTGTGGTGCCTCAATTTTAAGTGAAGAATTTATTATTTGGGTCACTGTATTGTCTGAAGGTGCCAAATTATTTTTAAAAAATGGAGTTTTAAGATTTTTGAGTTCTTCCATCTGCCCTTATTTTCTTAATATGTTAATTGTATGGTTTTCATAGGTTGCCTCTGTTTTCTTGTTTTGGCTGTAATTTTTAACAGATTACTGTAATTCTATGTAGAAAATCATAGCTAAATTGATTGTTTGGGAACATCGCTTTAAAATTTTCCTAATTTACTCAAGTTTCATAAGTGTTAGATTCAGGTTGGTCAATCGAATTTGAATTGATGAAGTTTTAGATAGCAAAAAATTGGCTGTAAATTCTGAATATTTGGTGAAATTGGCATTCTGGAAAAGAATGGCTTTCTTACATTGTCTATTAGTTTGGTTGGAATTTCAGCTAAATTTCAAAAAATCAGTTAATAACCGAAAGAATTTAAAGATTGTATAGTAGTTAATGGAAATCTATTTTTGTAGTGAGGTTTCAGTAAGGTGTTGGGATTCGGAAGCTAGACTTATTTAATAAGGCGATATTAGAAAAATGGCTATTGAGATTTAAACTAAAGAGGCATAGTCTTTGGAGAAGATTGATTGAGGGGAGATATGGCAGCTTGTTTGGTGGGTAGAGGATTCATACTATTAGAGGTCCGTATTAAAGGCACGCCTAGGCGTGCGCCTAGGCCCAAGTCCCATACAGGCCCAAGGTTTGTGCCTTATAGTGTTCCAGGCTAGGCGACTTCAATAAGGAGTGCCTAGGCGTGCGCCTAGGCCCAAGTCCCGTCCAGTCTCAAGGTTTGTGCCTTGTAGTGTTCCAGGCCAAAAGACCGTGATAAGGCGCCTGATTGGCCCAAGGCTTGCGTCTTAAGGGCTTTTTTTTTATTGTTGCTTTAATTGGTTTTGTTTAAAATCTAACCATTGATTTAATATGATGCAACTACAGAAGATCTCTACTCTTATTACAGATGCCAATATATTGGGCATTCAACCCCAAATCAATGATAAAAGAAAAATTATCCCTAATTCCTAATCTCCCAAAAACACTAAATGTTTAACATTTCATTTTGTTTATGTTTAACCTTAAATTATTTACTTATATTAAATTATACATTTTTTTCAGTACAAAGTGCGCCTCACTTCGGTGAAGCCTGTGCCTCGCCTTGCGCCTTGAGCCTAGACCCTAGGAGACCTTGGTGCCTTGGTGCGCCTATCACCTTTAATAACATCGGGTGGGCCTTTGGAAGAGTATTCTCTCAATATTTAATTTCTTTACGTTAATTATTGGCATTTGGATTGATAACCGGAGCTTCTTATGGAAATTATTTAGTTTTTCATTCCTTTACTCATCAATATTTAGACCCTTTTTTGTTTTTTGTCTCAATTTTGTTCGTTCGTTGGTAGGCTTATCTAGATCGCGATCTTAACAGTTTGGGTTGTTCAGTATATGAATTTTAGTATTGTTTGGATTGGTGGGTATGATTTAGATTTTGATAAATTTGTTTGAATTTCGCAAAATTGATATGTTTATTGACCTTTTCTTTGGCGATTTTGTTGTGTCCAATTCGTTAAATTGCCACAAAAATGAAATTTTTGGGAATTCTTCTGAATTATTATTGTTCATTTGGTCAATTGGGTCACTGTTGTTTTGGTGAATTTTGGTTTGAATTTGTGATTTGGTTTTTCAGGGGAGAAGTTTGAATTCAATTCCTTGGAAAATGGGGGTTATGTTGAGGCGGGTTTTGCCCATTTGTGGTAAAATCTATTTCTTCTATCCTTCCCTACGGGCAAGGTCGAGACAGCCTGTGAAACGGTACAAAAATCTTCTTGCTGATATCTTCCCTCAGTCTCAAGTGAGTATTTGGCTTCCCTTGTATCAGTTTTACTTGATTTTTATGTCTCTTTGAAGTAATGTCAATAATTTTTGTTGCTTTAGAGGTCAGTTGGCATGACTTTTTGCAATTCTTGCGCTTCTGTATGTTGAGGATGATTACTTCAAAGTATTCTATCAAGTACATTGTTATTGAGTACTTAACAAAAAGAGAAATAAAGGAAAAAAGTGCTTAGTGTTTGACATTGATCTGGTTGATTTATACGCTCCGGGGATTCACATGTGTTCTGAAAATGGTGGGAAAATTTAGAGAGATGTTGATAGGGATAATCTGCTTTTGAGGGTAAAAAATGAAAAGGGCAACATATCATTACACGAGGCCTTGATGAACGGTCACCAAGTTGTAGCTTATTATTTGATCGCGGTAGATCCAGAAATGTTATATTATCTGAACAATGAAGTGAAATCAGCTCTGTTTCTAGCTACTGAAGTAGGGTTTTTGGAACTTGTCACGCATATTCTATGTGATACAATTGGGATTGAAAATACAAACAAAAGACTTAAAGGGTAATCACCTATTCATGCTGCCATTTTTAAAAGAAACCGAGGTAATTCTAACACTTATTCTTGATTTCTCTTTGGCTTTTGCATTTTTGTTTCTCAATTTATTTTAAAATCCTAGGTGTTTTAGATGCCTTATTGAAATCAGAACTACGGTTCATTCGATTAAGAGATGAAGGATGGAAGGACTCCACTTCACTTGATTGCATGATTGGGCTATCTTGAAGAGGTTCAGTACTTGTTAGGAAGACAGAGTTCAAGTGCTATTGCAAGGGACAACAATGGCTTACTTCCTATTCATTTAGCATCAATTAAAGGCCACGTTGACATTGTCCGGGCATTGCTTCACTATTGGCCTGATTCGAGGGAACTGCTCAACTGTCATGGTCAAAATATTCTTTGTAACGCCCTCAAAATTAAACCCATTATATATATCATTGACATGCATTATTTAAAGAAGACAATTTATTAATTCATTCATCAGAGTATTACTAAATAAAGCATTACATGTAACATTGAATAAAATGCCTTACAGGCTTACATCTTTCCAAGCCAACACTTGGATACAAAAAACATGAGTTCTAACTCAATACAAGAAAAGCCCTAGGCTTGAATGTTTACATGTACTAATAAATAAAGACAATTAACTAAAGGTAGTCTTCTTCAAACCAGAAGCCAAACCCTCCCAAGCTAAGTCCTTGGAGGTAGTTTATCACCTGAACCTGAAAATGATGTTCCCATAAAGGGTGAGCCACAGCCCAATAGAAATATTCTAAACCACATATAAGCAATGAATAAAGCAATAGCATTCAACAGATGGTCAACCAAATGGAAACTGCATTAAATGAAACATAGAAGTTCATTCAAGAAAC